ATACTGAAAATTACTGTAATTTAAATATCAACTTAATTATAACGTGCATTATTATTATTTCTATAGATGGATTCTGTACAATCAAAGAAAATTAAAATTAGATACGGTGAGAAATGTATGAATATATATGTGACAAATAATACTTTGAAGAAAAATGTCTTAAAAGATTATTTTTCTGACGGTGGGACTTTGACATATCAAATTGATGGGGAGACATATCTATTAGACACGGATGGTCAATCCATCTACGTAAATGCAAATGTGGACATTTATGATTTCAACGTTCCAAAAGGTTTGTATAACATTATCTTACATCATATACTTTATACTATACTCATAATTATTGTAAAAAAATGTTATTTTGAATAATATATAGCTATATAACTTGGCTACCGTTTTCAAAAAATAATCAATATTTTTTTAGATGTACCTGTTTCACAGCTCAATGGAAAAAAACGTAAACGTTTTCATGATATTCTTGAAAAGTTATATTCAGACAAAAAATCAGATTGTGTTAAAAAGAAGGTAAATTTTATGATGTGTGTTCTATTTTTTAATATTTAAAAATAATGACAATAACAATAATGACAATAAATGTAATAATTTCAGTTATCTTAACAAAAGATAGTAAATAAAAAGCAAGGAAATTTATCACTGGAAATTGAAAATTCATCATTGGAAGTAGATGAAATAGAAAACAAGAAGACTTTTATTAAAAGAATTCTACATCTTGGATGGAAACATAGAAACCAATTAAATTCTAGATACGAGTACATGGGTGCAACAGTTGGACCAAGAATAAAGATTACTCTTAATGGGAATGAAGATTATCCATTACAAAAATTAAAGGACGTTCTTCTAAAAGAATATATCACCGAAAATAACAAATATTATTTTGAAAACTCCACAGTTGAGATAGGCACATTTAATAAAACAGTAATTGAGTCTTATATTCGTGATGGAAAAAGATGTGACTTCTGGAATTTTTGCAAATACCACTTGCGCAGAAAAGTCATATGTTAAGTCTTTACCTTCTTACGACAAAAAAGAACAC